ACTAAAAAACAAGCAAGTAAAAATTCTAAAAATTATATTATCGTAGCATTGTATTGTACAGTACATACTTTAGACTATAATTACACAGAGAACAAACTACGTAACTATATAAAACTACGAAACTACGTCATATGTAAGTAACATTACGTTAGATTTTAAGTAAATTAATTTATTTTCAAATACAGTAATTGCATTACAGTATTATACATCATGAAACTTTAAATGTATAGCGCTTAATGTGCCCAAAACACAAAACAAACCATTTTCTGGATTATGCCGAATTTATTTTATCGAAAAGACCCATTGAGTTCGGATTATCGAGTTTCCACTGTTATTAGAGAGTAAACAAGTGCACTTGTTCTAATATTACGAGTCGAAAACAAACCATAATTATTTAAAAGGAGTTTTTTAAATCGAATTTTAAGAATTATACCTGTTGTTAATTGCACCATTTCATGTACAGTACACTTCATTTATCTGTACAGACCTAGAATTGAATACAAGCTGCTGCTCTCGTTATTAGGCTATAGCTTAAGGCCTGGCATTTTTGCATATTCGGGTAGTAAGTTCTGTTATGTCATACAGTACAACAATAACATGTTTGAATCCAGCCCTGCATGTGTACTTAACATTCAACTTAATTTATTTTCATTAGATAACATTTTCTTTTTTCATTTAATTATAACATATACTGGATAGAAAATAATGATTTCACAATTAAATAAACATTATAGTGGTGTCTCGTATTTCGAATTTAATTCATTTCAGGAGGCCGTTCGAACTATGAATTAATTTTTCTTATTAGAAATAATAGAAACTGAGTTAACTCATTCCTAGACCTTAAACAATAAGCTTAAAAAGCATAATTTAAGATAAAAATAATACAATTAAATGCCCTGATAATAAAAAATAAAACATAAAATCAATAAATAAAACACATAAATACTGTATAATGAACTGAAAATTGCATTGATTTGATATTCAATATAAAATGAGTTTTACTAAATTTATATTTAACGTTTTTTAGGGATACCCTGAACCAGGAAGAAATATTTGTCCTACTTTAGTAAGTATTTTCATGTGTCTTAAATTGCGTGCTGTGTTAATTGTGCAACTTATTTATTATTGCTGATTTCTTATATTTTAACAAGTGTAAGTTTCAAGATATATATAGATTTTGGAAAAGACGAATTGAATGAAATATACATTCATCTTTCTGCCCTTTTCACACCTAAGGTAGCCTTTTTAATCATACCTGTTAAGGATTCATTGGTGCATACAATGGGGCCGCTGGAGGGTGTGGGACGGGACAGACCACTACTTGAAAAATTCATGTGATTTTCGAGACAAACAACACTCCAGGTCTCCTTCCTTCACTAGCTAGACGAACTGAATAGGATATGTTAAACAGGACCTTCTTCGTACCTACATGACTCTCCGTCTAATAGGGTGTTTTTAATCATACCTGTTGAGAGTTTGTCCAGCTATTATAGGTACAAATAGGGGGAGAATTCGCTGGAATTTTAATTTTCATACTATTACAATTTGAAAAATTCTAAACAAATTTTGTGATATTTAAAATTTTCTTTAATATTAATATTAAATTAATTTTATTTATTTATCAGCCTCCGATAATATGTAACTGCAACTGTGGTGGAGCAAAGGTAAGTGATATATTTTATCTAAATAATTAATTATAACTCTAATTATTAGCAAAAATGAAAATGCAATTTTTTTATTAAACTCTAATTAAATTATTTAAATATAGGGTGTCCAGCTTATAAATTTTATAATAGAAAAGAATATAATTTAACGAGAAAGTTGTGTTTTTTAATACAAAATCTCTGGCATCATTTTTTACACTCGAACACACTTCTACATGTACTGTACATCAACAGTGACGTAGGAGATGTCCAACTTTTATTCCATTTTTAACCACATATTCAACAGCATGTGAAGTGTGACATTGTTTATAGCCTGACAGACTCTGTCTCAGATTATTCAAGTTATGCACAGATGCACGGTGCATTTGATTATTCACAAAATTACTCAGGAAAAAGTTTAATGGGGTAAGAACCGTATGGTTCCTATACTTCATTCCGAAATTGTTTTCAAAGTGGCTAGGAGACACACCTTTTGAAAAACAATGCCGGCAGGATGGAGGCGTAAGCTGCAACATGTCCAAGTAACTTGCTTCTTTCGCTGTGTTTTTTCACTTAGTTCTTCGTTAACGTGCATCTATTTTGCCATTCTGTGCATTAGTTATCACAGCAGCATTGTATGGTATTTCTTTAAAATGGCCACATATGTCAACATAAAATACACAACAAATACAACGCAAGCTATCATTTTTTTTATTATTAAACTTCTATGCCCTGTATTAAAATTACAGTAATGTTTATTACAAGTTAGTTACATAAAACTGCGTATAGATCATCGCATGGTCGAGACGATTAATACTTAAATTTGCCATTCTGGATATCGTAGTTCGAGTCCTGATTAGGAATTTCTGTTATAAGTAGTCTGTTTTGGCTTTGTCACTTCTTCGATCTTCCCCAATGTGGGAATGGCCGAACCTATAACAACAAAAAAACAGGTTTTTTTTAAAATAATGCCTGTAGGGTAGAAAGAGTAAAAACACTGTAAAATTAAATTAAACAATAAGACATTATTTTCGCTTTTTTCTTTTTTGAATCTTTAACTTATTACACAGGGCGATTCTAAAACTGAAGGGAATTCTGGAACTACTGGAAGTAGAGGAAGTGTTGACAATGCTGGTAGTAGAAGTGGTGACAATAATGGAAATGCCGGAAACCATGAAAATGAAGGAAATGATGGCCCTAATGTAAACAATAATCCAGATGGAAATGAAGAAAATGGAAGAATTCCTGAAAATAGAGAAAGTGGTAATTTTCACAGAGGTGATAAAATTCGCGAAATGAAAAAAAAATGCAGAAAACACTAGATATAACGAGGTAAACAGCTCGTTATACCTAGCGTTTCCTTATATTCTAATATTTCCTTTTATTTCGTGTTATAATGATGTTACATTTTATAAGTAAACAGATAACGGCCGATGTAGTTCAGGAGTAAACCTACTTCTCTGGGAAATCCGGGATTGAATCCCGATAAAAATTCCCTAGGAAGTTTTGAAAATTTTTTTCTGTGGGCAAAAAAAGCAAATTCCTGGAGCCCTCGAAGAAAATTGTGTGAAATTAATGTACACGTTGTCCTCTAATTAAAATTATACTGGGCCCTATAAAGCTATAACGTCCCAATGTCCTGCGGGTATCAGAAATCTGTCCCTCATCATTTGATTTTCTCACTCTGATCCCGCCGTATGGATATGGCATAGAAGATTCTTTTATTGATCTCCAAGAGTGGTGGAATGGTCGGCAATAAATTGTATTTATAATTTTAATCTATCATTTTTTAAAGTAGAAATTTCATCTTTGTAATCTCTATTCTCAATGACATAAACAATTCAATTATTTACTTTCAGGATCCATACGATATTAGAAGACGAAGCTCATAAAATGTAATTATTTATGCTTATATGCATTTATTTTACGATAAAAATTTTAAACAATAATTCTAATTATTTTCACATGCGTTTTCATTTCATTTCTAATTCAAAGTATAATTTCCTCTTACAGAGTAGATATGATGAAAACCATTAAGTCCATTAGATAAATGCTGATAAGAAATGTGTATTTTTTATTATAATTACGTGTTCTTCAATTTTAAGAAGTTAGCGTTATATCCAATAATTTGAATATTATTTCATATATTTCAACCAACACCGCTTTAATTCCTGTCATATTCCTGTGTAAAATCGAACTTCATCCCTATGTAATTATATTCTATTACCGAATATTTTGACGCAAAATGGTTATCGATTAACGTTGATAAAGATTAGAATGTGTGTTAAATGTTATAGTAAACAATAACTTGAATTCTTAGATGAAGTTCAATTTCTATCCATTAAGTTATCTAATGATATTAAATACATTTGATAATAAACTTTTGCAATAATTTCACTTAAACAAACAATTTGACATTCTCTTCCCATTTTATAGTAATTAAGTGAAATTGTAATTTAACCATCGCATTTTATACTTTAATAGAATTTTATTATATAAACAATCTATCGTTAAAGGAAAAGTATGATGTACAGGGGCAAGCGACTACTAATTTGAGGTGGAAAACATATATTTTATGTTAAATAAATTAAAAACATGATTAAAAATTGCAGTCTGGCGATATCACAATAAATAATTGCTCGTTTACTATTATTTTATTTCACCACAAAGAAACGCAAGCTGTAAAAATGGTTTTCGTTTACGACTTTCAGAATCTTTGAATCATTTTTGAGTTTACTTAGACTCGACAATCTTAAGTTAAAATTAGTGGACGACATTTGTTTATTGTATATAATACTTTAAACGATCGAATTATAAGTCTAACTTGTAATCGCTCAAAACAAACAGAGAAGGCTCTGGTAGAGGGCGCATCCATATACCGGCATCACTAAGAATTAGATGGAAAATTTGCAAAAAATTTATATTTTGTTCATTCGAATTGGTTTTTCGGAAAAACCCTATTACTTTGCTCGTTATTGTGGTGTTTGGCATCATAAGAAAAAAACAGTTTAGTTACCTTTTCAAATAAAATTTATTTTCACTTACAGCTAAAATCAGCATCATTCCCCGGATAGAACAGATTAATCTTGCAACGTAAGAAGTTGACATCTACGTACAGTTTCACTATGTGTCTGTCTTCTATACTGAATGGTCTATCCTTTTTATGAGTAAATTCTCAGAGAAATCACGACGTCACGAATTTAAAATATTGTATTAAGCTCAATAAAACAAATTTACGAAAAGATACCTCAAAGACCTCATTAAAATTACATTCCATTGTATAAAAATCACTTTCAAATCCTATTATACAAAGTAAGAATAAAATAAACACACTGAAAAAACGCGGATATTCGGAGTTCATGTACGAACAAAGAAATTATTAAAAATAATAATGTAAAATGTATAATTNCAAAAACAACACATACTTAACTTTATGTTGACAAAATGCATTAAACTACTGGCTAACTAGGGGCTGCCTGTTTGGAGAGTTTTATGGTTGCCATTCAAGATCAAGTCATAAACACTAAAAACTCATCCTGGAGGATACATCACTCACAAATGACTTGCAGAAAATGACACATTCTGTCACAGATAAAACAATCCATCACAATAGACCTGATATCACACTCATTGACAAATGCAGTAAGATCACTTATATAATACAACATATAACCTCTAATACAAGCTCTTAGCACAACAGACTACAGTAGAGCGTCGTTTATCCGAATCAATTAGGGAATGGGGTTGTTCGGATAACCGATCATGTACGAAAAAATATATTAATTTATCCCGTGTTGAAATTTTTCTCCGTTGCGTGTCGCTTCGCGTTGAATTTTCGTCGATGTTAAGCCTAACGAAGACTATTGTATCGTTAAAACTTATTTTTTTTTATTTTGTACAAACAAAATAAATATATTGAAAAATATAAAAACAATAAAAAATTATACTTCAGAAGTTAATTTAGTATCAAAAACGTAAAATATTTCAGTAGCCGAAGACATAGCCAAAGATTACAGCGCCACAGCACTGGCGAAAATTTAAATTTGTCGACTGGAATTCCTTCGGATAACCGACGTCTCGGATAACCGACCTTCGGATAAACGACGCTCTACTGTAATATAAAATGTAGTTAAATTTACTTTTATTGGAAATTTCTTGGTTACGTTGAAGTAATCATTCATGGATAAGCATAGAGATACTTTACCAAATCTTTTCATAAAATTCAACATCTGTACAATAATTGTATAATTGATTGTCATTACTGTATCTAAATCTTAAAAAAATTAACAGTTATTAATAAAAATATCAAATTTTAAATACTTTACCTTTAATTTCTGTTCTAAACTCAGATCGCAATCAGCGAATCTTCTTATATCTTGAAAGGATGTTTGCATCTGAAAGAGAAAAACAAAGAGAAACATTTGATTAAATTTATAAATGAACTTATTTTCATTTTACTAAAATTCTTACGTTTGACGTGAAAACAGACATCAAGAATCCAAATAAAATGCATACAATAGTTGTTACAGCACAAATAATTACAATAAAGAGTTTCAATATGAATTTCACTTTCGAGAACATAGCAATAAAATAAAATAGACACGTTTCTGTTAATAATGTAGCATACAAAATCGTTAATACATAATTTAATGTTCCGTTGAATTGATTGGTGTAAGTCCAAATTTCATGGTGTTGTATCATAATTTCTTCTAATTCAAGTTCCAAGTTCGGATCATATCTTCGTAATAAGTACAGTTCTTCCGATACTTTCTGGAATGCTTTTGATAAAATAACAGTAATCATGAAAAGAAAGAACATAAGATAAAATAAACCTCCAATGAGGAAAACCGTCCATATTCCAGCTTCGATGCTACAGAAAAGTGCTTCGAATTTGAACAATTCTCTTTTGTTTAAATCGTGATAAACGAAAAATACATTAAAGAACTGAAGCCATAACGTAAAAATTATTGTCAATATCATTGTGGCAATTCCTGTATAATTAATAATAGAAAGCAACTGATTTTCGCAAAAGTAATTTGAATTTCTTAGTTTTATTTTTGTGTTTAATTTTACTCGTCTGATGATGCTGAATATTATGGCAAATACTAAAGAAAGTAGACAGACGCTTACTTTGACATATATGTCGTTTTCGACGATCGAATACCAAGAGACACAGGGCGTTTTACTTGACACAAAAGGAATTATCATACAAAATGTAAGAAAGAAATGTATCCAGTACATACATTCGATCGAAGATAAATAAATTTTCGTTAGAAGATTGAGTAAATAATTGTTGTATCTTGTCACGAATGCACAAGGATTGAAAAAATGCCAACCGTAAATTATTGATATTGAGGTAAACGATGAAAGAATACATTTTAGACACATCTCGTGTTGCAACTTTACAATTCGAGGCGTTATACTTGAAGTTTGCATTATGTTTTCTATAAAAAAATGTAATAATCTTCCAAGTTAGCTATGTAACAACGGTTATCTTTTTACTTTAAAACAATTATTGTAAAGAAAAAAGTTTAATGTAAAATATAAGATAATGTTATTGCTTATTTTAATTCATGAACTACTCATATTCAGCTGTTAACTTTAACTGATTCTCTTAAACAAAAGAACTTTAAAAATTCAATTTATGAAACTGAAAAATGCCACTGAAAAATTTTAAAAGCACCATAAATCTAAAGATGATAGTGCAAGATGATCAATACGATTAAGAATTACTGCAGATAAGAATGTCGAATGGAAGTTTTCGCTTTTAAAATTCGTGAAATAACTACATCAGTAATTTCTTAAATGGTAAAGTATACTGCAGATATGGTATTTTCGTAATTTCTGAATATAAAAGCATTACCGTTATGGATCATTATACTTCCTAAAAATAGTCTTACAAGACACATTCTGCTCTCTTTTTCACAGTTATAATTTTCATAATATGTAATGTATGCGCGGTGGCATTAATTTAACAGCTTACCAAATATCTTGTCGCAGTATCAACAGCCTGATGTTACTACTTATTGGGTTGCAATTTGAAAAAAATTATAGATCTATAAATCACCACTGTGGTCTGTTCGGGTGTCTGTCTTTTCAGAATCTCGAGAAAGCTGTTAGATAGATAAATGTAGAAACCAGATATGAAAACCATAATAGAAGAAGACCCCAATTACTGTATATAATTACGTTATTTGTTACTGTATATACGCAGATACGTTATTTGAATTTAAAAATTTTCCCCCGAAAGGTGTTAGATAGATGACCGGCGGAACTCTATTGTTACAGAAAACGTATGGTATACAGGGGCAAGCCAGTACTAGTTCAAAGTGAAAAGTAAATATTTTATGTTAAATAAATTAAAATCATGATTAAAAACTGTAACCTGGCGATATTACTATAAATAATTTTTCGTTTACTATTATTTTATTTCATCTCAAAGAAAAGAAAGAATAGTTAAAAAACTTTCTGATTATGAATTTAACAAAAGAGGAAAGGCGCAGTTACACATTTGTAATACAGTGTAAACCAGGTTTACATAATGAACACGCGTAAATGCTGTATATTATGTTAGTCAAAAAACAATGCTTATTACTGTATGTGTGTTGTTTAAGCGCAATTTCTGTAAAAATTGTTTTCGTTTTCGACTTTCAGAATCTTTAAAACATTTTTGTGTTTACTCGAGAATCTTAAGTTAAAATTAGTGGATGACATTTGTTTATTGTATATACAGTCGACCCCCCTATAAGATCATAGATACGTTCCATTCTTTAGGAATCCGATTTTTTACGAGTCCTTCCAATCACAGCCCGACACGTGTGAAGTTTACGGACTACGGCTGATTGAAAGATTTTCTTCCATAAAATTAATCGATTCTAGACTAATCCGACTCAAAATTTCTAAAATACGTATATATTTTTTGGGAANTTCTCCTTGTACAGTTTTCTTTACTTGAATTTCTTTGCGTTAATTTCTTAGTAGTAAGTGATAGCTGCATTAGTGTTACAAACTCAAAATTTAAATTTATAGCTAAACATTTTTAAAAAAAATACCTGAGTCGCATTACATCCATTATAATTGGTAGCTTTTTTACAGCTAGATAGCATTATAAAAACAGCAAGGACACTGCAATTTAGGTAATTTGCATAGCTGGATCGTTCATATGTCCACTGAATGTAGAAAGAAATAAGCTAAATTGGCAACCAGTTGCATTGATTGTTTAATTTCATTAC